TCCTGAAAGCTAGGCTATAGGAAGAATCTGTTTGGTTTTTTAATACAAAAATAAAAAGCAGCACTTTTAAAAATGGGACAACCTCAGCATAGGTTTGACTAGCCCACACTGTCTCTGTTCATTGCATTGTTACACAAGGATAATTTAAATTGACTTATCGCCACTTGAATTTGAACAGATTGCTTTTTTAAAACAGCTTCATTTCTCATGAAGAGAGTAAAAATACTTGAGAATATTCTTTAAACAAAATAGCAGAAAGTAATTATTCAGAATAAAAACACATGACAGGAGTGAGAACCAATAGAGAGGTGTTAAACTGATCGGAACTAGTTTTTCTTTCTCCTGGAGGGGAGGAATACTTCATTTATTATGTTTACATATAGGCTTCCGCCACCTTAAGTCCTGGGCATTGAAATATTACCTATGCTTCTGTACTTGATCTGGGCAATTTTGTACCATCTCAGACTCCAAACTGCAAAGTAGGTCGAGTTGATTCAGTTGCTACTTAGAGCAATTGGGAAGAAGTTGAAATGAAAGCAAACTGGGGAAAAATGCATACCTTGGCATGAGCAGCAACAGTATTTATTCTCAAGTCAGTTGGCTTGCGTGGACTCAAGTGCAAAGTAATTCAGGTAAGTATTGTGTAAAGAGTTCACAAGAAGTGGGGTAGCTTTGTGGGTTTTTTGAGTATCAGTCTTTGGGAGCATTTTAAAGAACAGTTTTGGGAGAGATTTGGGTAATTGAAACCAAGCACTAGCATGTTTGTAATCTGAGCAAGTTTTTTGGGTTTCTTCTTTTCTTTTTTTTCCTTTTTTTTTCCCCCTGTACTAGCTGTCTCATCTTCATACTATGCATTATCTGATAGAATAGTGAATGGTATGATGCTTTGGTGAAACTGAGTTGCAGTTACCCGAGATAAAAAGTTTAGATGATCAGTACTCTGTAATCTTGAGTACTTGGGTTATCGCTTCTAACAGCTTAAGAATGAAAGTACAGACTGAAATATTTGAGGCATTATATTGAATTTTTAGCTTTTCACTTTTTCTTGCATACAAGCTGATGAATGCATTTTGGTTTCTGTGTTGGGTCAGAAGCATAGGCTAAGTATCCTTATGGACAACCGTTATTCAAACTGAACTGTGATGCATTTGTCTTAAGTATAGAGTATTACATTGTTACTGTTTTCCAGAGCTGCATGGGAGGTATGTTAAGTGATTAAAACAGGAACAGTAAGTAAAATAAATTGGAAATACTCCATTTCGTGGAATTTCTCTATTGAACTGTTTGGCTTTGCCCTTTCATATATCTGTTTTACCAAGCTGAAATATTCTGATGTAGCAGCTGTACCATAATCTAGTTGTCATTTTCTTAAAATAAATAAATAAAAGTAAAGTAAAAAAAAAAAAATTCTTGCAATCATATCCTAGTTTGCAGTTCAGTTCTTAAGTGTGTCTTCTGTAATTCATTAAGATTTTATATACTGCCATCTCTTAATTTGCAGCACATTGACTCTGGTACATTTCATCTTGCTCAGTTGTTGGTAGGTTGTAGGAGGACAGGAACCTGTAGCAAGTAGTGTGGTTTTTTTTCCTTCTTGGCTATGCCACTGTATAACCAAGAAATATTCATCCTCTGCCTTACCCCAGTGTCTAGGCTTTATAATCCATAGTTTATAGAGCAGTTATAAATTTCTTAGGTTTGAGATAGCAACTTTTTCTTAAAGTGGAAAACATCATTAAAAACTGGAATTAATGATTGGATTATTTCTGCTAGTTGATGTTGCAGCATGTTTCCCATGTAGGTGTTTAAGCCTGTGTGTTGTCAGAACAAGGTCTTTTCTTAAGAATTTTTCCCATGAGTGTTTGAGGTTCGGTATCAGTGCCCAGACAGGAAAGTTGGGAAAGTCTCTGTTTCCCCAGGTTGGGAGGTAATAAAAACTCTGCTCTGCTTTTCAGTAGCAATGACTGAACTCCATTAAGAAGTTGTTGCTGTTGTTGTTGTTGTTTTGGAGCTGCTTTTGCTCTTAGTCTCTCCACTCACATTAATAAACCTCTTCATTTTGCAGGGAGCTGATAGCTAATGGTCAGATACACTTTTTTTTCTTTACCCCCACCCTGTATAGAGGAACTGTATGAGGCGTTGCTGGCCTGTCTGAGCAGAGCACCTACCTGCCTGGCTGTTAAAATCCACGGCTACCTTAAAACCTGAAGTCATCTTGCAAATATGACCAAGAGTGAAGCCAGCCAGTTAAGTTTAGGTATGGTAAAGTCTAGGGTATAAGTATTGTGCAACTCCTGTTTCAAGGTGGGGAATATGTAATTAACTCGTCTGCTTTTTGCACCAACCTTCTGAACCATTCCAGCACAGGATAGGAGACACTACCATTTTACTCTGACTTCTTCCTGTTTTTACTCTGTAGGGTATTGTTTCACACCTTCAGATCTGATCTTAAGCTACGACTTGTCTGTCTGTCTTGAAATAAGGAAACTTTCTTTGCTCCCTTTCTAGCCTCCCTTTCCTAAATCTTGGTGTTTTCACAGGTGCCCTTGCCTTCCATTGAATATGGCAAGGTGTGTGCATGAGACTTTCGAAAGTTTTCCTCTAATCACTCATCAGACAACTCTTTGAAAAAGGAGTTGGTTAATGTTAGTTGCTTAAAATGCCAGGGGAATTTTGGAAGGGAGGGTTTAACAACAGAAATACAGGTCCTCAGAACTGTATGATTTGCACACTTCATGAGGTAGCATGTGTGACTAATCCATCCTATTGTAAACTCTGTGACTCAAATGATGTAAACAGCTTTGTTTCATACCCTAAAATAGCTACCCTCTTATTCTGACTTTCCTGTAAATTTTACTACTGTAAATTGAACACTATTCCTAGGACTGTCTGCACATTTAGGGGCACAGCAGCTGAATGTAGATTTTTGTACATAGCAGTAGAAAGGAAGTTTTCATTCCCTTGTTATGTAGCTTCTATTTAGTAAGCCCTGGAATGACTCAGTTTCTGTGTTCTTACATGTGATATTTAAGACTTGAAATAGTGAGAAGTAGTTTTGTCACAGTTATTTTTAGAAACATGAGTTATAATGATTAGTGTATCCAAACTCAATACCTTATTTCCAAGAGTTGTTGGACTGAAATACCTTTGGGAAACAGCACCTGTAGATTCAAAATTAGTTTTGTAGCCTATGTTTAGCTAGCACAAGAAGTGGTTACCCCATCACGAAACACTGTGTAAGAATTAGCCAAAGAAGATTGTCACAGGGTTTTCTGTTGCTGTTTTGGTTAGTGCAACATGGGGCTCTACTAAGACACCTTCTAACAGTGTGACGCATAGGGAACTGAGGCACTGTAGAAACTAAACTGGGATCAGACTGTTATCCAGGGCTCCCTGCCGATAACGCTGTTCTTAGAGGAGAGCGGAGGTGGTGCCTAATGCTGGGTAGGTGAACTTGAAGACACGATTATTTCTCTGCCAAGATTTGGAAGCAGGGTCCGATACCTCTGTACGATGGTGAGTCCAGTTTGCTCGCTGAGGCTTACAGATGTCAGGGAGCTGTTGTAGATCATTAGCATAGGGACAGCTTTGATTGCCAAAAAGGCCAGTTCTAGCTTGGTGGATTGTCATTCAGCACAGAGTATTTGATGTGAAAAGTGCTGATTGAGATGGTGTAGCTGGTAGACTGATGTAGCTGAAACTTGAATAAGACGCAGTCTGCCTCCCTTGCAGATTTCTTCTTTTGTGCAAGCCAAATGTGGGGAGACCAACTGCAGCTGGTAAACTGCGATCATCTGCAACTAACTTACCACTACAAACACAGTGAACACTTAACCTGCTGGGCTTTCCTTTCATCTAACTCTTTTTAGGGACTTCGTACTGTAGCATTGAAATTCTTCACAGCATGAAGGTTTGAGTGTAGCTACTGCTGTGTTGATATAGCAGTTTTCCCTGTGATGAAGATGAAGCTGCAGACACAGCTCGCCATATTTGATGCTGTCTTCCCGAGAAGCCTGTAGTTGTGTGTCATGCTGTTGATGTTGCATGGAAGGATTTGTGGCAGATAATCAACGTACGCATTGCTGTACAAGATCTGTGCACCTACTTTACGACCGCAAATGCAAAATGCTGAAACATTTCTGAAAGTAGCTCAAATACTTCTGAAAGCTAAATGTTCTTTCCTCTGGCAGTAGTCAGTAGAGATGTGTGCTTGGTGTCCTCTTAAATGACCTCCCAGCAAAGCTTCCCTGTATCCTCTCCTTGCCTCTTCCAGCAACATAAGCTACTATTAAAATTACTGTGTAAATATATTTCTGTGTGGCAACTGGGGAGAAGATCAGCTCCTTTCAGGTCATTGTGGTAGGAACTGAGCCTGCCCTCTGTTTGCAAAGACTCTGCTCCTTCAGCTGGAGGTGCTGATGAAACTTGAGGACATTTGGCCCCATTTGTGCAAGTGAAGTCTCCGCTTCTTGAAGCATAGGAAAGGCCAGAACATTGCCTCCAATAAAATATTCACCTATGAGCTCATCATGCCATTTCAAATGGCACTAAATGGAGAGTTATGCTCTGCTAAAGCAACATCTGTGCTTTTAGAGCTATTACATCAGATAGCCCCAATAAGACTAATGTATGGCAAAGCAAAACCCATTGCTGTCTGTTTTAGAGGCTAAATATTACTACGTTTTTCTCTTAGCTTTTCAGAAAGTTTAGCTTTTATTCTGAGCTTCCAGTTGGGCACATGATGAATGCTATGAATTCTTCCTGGTAGTATATAGTGCAAACTTCACAGCACTGTGTTACAAGAAAACAACTGAGCACTTCTGTATTCAAGGTGAAGCTCACACACAGCACGCTTTGCCTTCTAAAGCTTCCCAGCAAATGCTCCTGCAGGTTTGGCTGTACATTAGACACACTTAATAAAGTTTTTTTTTTTTATTTAATTTTTTTCCCTCCAAAGATGACTGACTTTGATCACCCCATCTGCTTTTTCTTTCCTTCAGTGATGGGGAGGGAAAGAAAAGAACATCAACCGTCTGCAGCAGTGAATCTCTAAATGCTGTGGGGGCCACACTCACACCTCGCCGCATCTCCTGGCGGCGGAGAATATTCCTGCAGGTAGCTTCACCTATGAATAAATCTCCTTCCAAGATGCAGCATCCAGGTCTGTGTGTGCTTTTAAAGAAAATAAACAAGCAGTTGTTACTGAATAGTTATTACTATAGTGAACTGCAACATGTGAAAATATGAAAGGGAGAAGGGAGTCAGCTTGATACAATATTCTTGCTAGAACCTCACTAGAGAACAGTTGTGCTCAGTTGGCTTTGGGTCTTTGTTGCTTTGAACAGAGGATTCTGTCATCAAAATCAAATTAATTGCAATCTGCCGTGGCTGCACTGGTAGCAAGGAAACGAAGAACTGCCTCTTGCTGACAAAGATACCCTCTTTAACAGTTAGCAAATTTACCCTAGCCTGCTTATATCATAGTGTTTGCAGAAAACGGTAAATTTTCTGCCTTGTCCTTGTACAGCGCATAGCACCTGTTGAGTGTGTTAATAATTCTTACAGCTTTAGGTCGTTTAAGGTAGAAACCTCTGAAATATCTGAAATCCTGTTATGCTGATTTAGTCCCGTTGGTGGAATTCACAACCGTAGGCAAATGACAAACTCTATATTTAGTGACCATAAAGTGCTATAGCGCTGCCTATAGTGCAGCTCAGCAGATGGAAAAAGTTGCTTTTAGTAGAGAGCCTGTGGTAAATCACAGCAGTAAACAAGCTCTGCTGTAAAGGAGACTATGGATAAATGTTTCTTTGTAACTCTAGAAGGAGCTAGCAGGGGAAAGGGTTGAAATACTGGGTGACCCTTTATTTAGCTTTATTTCATTAAATAACTTTATTTAAAAATAATTCTCTACTGTTGAACTGCATTTTCTCTGTCTTTGGGATCAGCACCTCAGTGCTGAATGTGGAAGACAGCTATTTTTATTCTGCTGTGACTTGGATTTTTGCAATATGTCAAACAATTTGACTTTCCTGTAATAGCTTTCTGCTTCTTTGCAGATGGTCATGACGGAAGTGAATTGTTACCATTATCCCCTCTTGCTCCACCCTTGGAGGAGGACCCTCTTGTTCTAGTATTGCAAAATGAGGATGGTCCAGATAAAACTGGAGAGAGGAAAAACTCAGAAGAACTACAAAGTCTGTGGAGAAAAGCCATCCATCAACAAATTCTGTTACTTCGAATGGAAAAAGAAAACCAGAAGCTGGAAGGTTAGCTATTTAGAAAATACCCCTAAAAATTATTACAAATTCTGCTGCCCGAAGCTGAAAACTGTAATGGTGTTGGGCCCCTCAAACAGAGGTGTGGTTCTGTAACTTTTTGGTTAACAGTGCTGGAAAGAAATGTGTTTGCCCAGTCCTATGTCACAGTCTACCAGGTTCTCTGTTCACCTCCCAACTCTTAATGAGTCATCTTAGTTAAAGAAGAAAGTGATAACTTTACCTTTTTTAGTGCATGTTAGACAAAGGTTGCTACAGTCTGTGTTCTAGCTGACTAAGTCTAGGAATTCTAATGTGGAGTCAGGAGAACAGATGCTGTGTGAACACTTAGGTATGGTAAACCTTACCCTCTATATCTCGTTTCAGTCCTTTGCAGCACATGACATTTCTGTCCAGGCTTTCTGCCCTTCATTAACCACATCACAGTGGTAATTTATAAATATTTGAATCCAAATGTGATTTTTGAGCAACTGGCTCTTGAGGTATGTCAAAAAGTTATTTTTTCAGAAGATGAGCACTGTACACTGAAAATTGAGTGCTGTTACTGAGGAATCTGAAGTTGGCCATGCTGACTTGTCAGCTGCCTGAGCTTCTGGCTAAACTATTTTATTATGACTGGTCAAGATTCGCACAAATAAAAGACAGGATGCAATGTCTATCCTAGCATATGGAAGTTCTTCAGTATAATAGACTAATAGCTTTTGGTGCAAGCTGAAAATTTCACATGTCCTCTCTGCAATTGCTGCCCTCATCTTCTCCTGTATGGTGTATAACCTCATTATATGGTAGTCTGATTCTTCGAACAAAACATAATGATCTTGTTAAGGTCAGTTAACTCTTTTTCCTTCTTTAGTGATCCTTACTGAGAAGGCAGGAGGAGGAGAGAAAAACAGCAGGACAGAAGTCTTTCCATGTCCCTACAAGCGTACACTTAATAAAGTATTGCCTACACATGTAGTGTATTTCTCTGTGCACTCTCTCTGCAGTTTGTCTCCCTGTTGACACACACTTCTGTGGAAACTCCTAGATTCATAGGGAACATCTACAGAGGAGTCTGTTTTAACTTCAGCCAAAATCTTTGTTGTTTTAGCAAATGGTCAGTCTACTGTTGTGGGGTGGGGAAGCTGGACATCTGCTGTAGTGACTAATTTCATGTTATTCCCTCTGGTAGAATGAGCTGCTGAGGGACAAACTCTTTTCTGTACCCTCCCTGCGCTCTTTTCTGTACCCTCCCTGCATGGCTGGAAGTACTGAAAACTGTTAAATCGGTCCAGCTCCTTAAGGCTCAGTTGGAGGTTATTTCCATTCTGTAACTGATATGTAGAAAATAAGTTTGGTCTGCCTGATCATCCATGGTGAAAACAGGAGTGTCAGCAGTGGAGACTCCAAACTGGCACCCATCTGCCAGCCCACATCTTGGTTTGTGCTCCAAGGAGCATGTTTCCATTCTTGTATGCAGGTTCATAAGTACTGCTAGTGAAACTGGTGCTTTGGCTAGCTAGAATTCATCATCTTATTTTCAAAGGGTGAAAAGTAACCTTAGCGCCTATCTCTAGGCTTCCTTCCTATAGGCTGCTGTAACGTGGGCCATTTTATAGACAGGACATATGCAGAACTGATACATTCCAAGCAAGCACTGGTTTGTACAGTGGTTGGCATCCTAGCCTACAATTAAATGTAGATCTCAGGAATGGGAAACATAATAACAGAAATGCAGCCATTTCTCTATTTGAAGCCAGGTTCCTAGCTGTGAGTTTAGTCAGCTGTATATGACTGGTTTAAGACTGGAATTGCTGTAGAATTTTTTTCAGTGGTTTTCTGTTAATGTTTTGTTGATTTTTATTTGCAAAATATTAATAGAACCTCTTTTCCTGTTCCTTTTGCTGTCGAGGAGACTTGAATACTATTAGCTCTGTTTTACAGAAGGTAAGTTCTGTGAATTGCACAAACTTGCTTTTTTTTTTTTCTGAGCAGCTGAAAGCTACTTTTTCCATTAGATGACGTAGAAATATAAGACCTACAAGAAGTAGCAGGCCACCTAACAATGATTAGGAAGAACATTAACAAGGATGGTTGCAAGTAACCAAGGTTGGCATAGGAAGCAGGGCAAGTAAAATCAACAGGCAAGCCTGTGGACTTTCAGTAGGGTTAACTGCAGAGCCAAAGTACCTTTCAGTGAATAATAACCCATGCGCTTAATTCTGGGGTTCCTTGTCACGCTGAAATATGTTACTACTGTCTTAAATCTGTCACATACTGCTTATGAGAATGAGCATTCTCAAATGAAATCTTACAGCAATAGGGTAGCTTTTAAAATTGCCCCAATTGGACTGCAAATTCTTGTGGTGAGATCATGTTCCCGTTTTTATGGAAGTGTACTGCACCTTGCATAAAAGTTGCTTCTACAAGGCCCCCTGTAGTCTTGAATAGATATGATCTCACTGGTGTAACATACAGCTTTTGGAAATAAATTGTCACCTACATTTTTGGAGTGGCCTAGGCAATGATCTTATGGATTCATCCAATATTGGCTGTATCCAAAGTGTGCTGATTAGGCGAAGGAACTGATTGTCTTGTTTTGCAGGTTGTATAATAACATAGTGTGAGTTTGCTTTCACCTAGAGATGATGGTGGGGAGGGGGGTACATCTGTAAGAGGAAGGAGTCTCCTGCAAGGAGCAAGTGCTGCACACAGATCAAGGCAAATTTGGAATAAACTCAATTGCAGCTTTCAGAGGTCATGTTGTGAAATGTACAATTCAGTCCAATGGTAATTAAACCTGTCTCTGTAGGTTAAGACACATTCAGGTCTTGATTCCAGTTTTTTACACCAGTAGTATGAGGAATTAGAGTTTTTCTGCATGCATATTACATATAATAAAATAACCACAGTTAATTTCTCAGTAATGGAAATGAAAGCTGCTCTTCCATGAAATTCCAGAGTAACTCTGCAGCTTTATTTCAGAAATAGTGAGTCCTCTGGAATAAGTATCTTGTGCCAGGTAGTCCTGTGCAGAAAACTTTTTAAGTATACAGCAACGTGAGTTCTGTGCTTCAGCACAGATGTACCTTTCTAGATATGGTTCGTGTTGGTTCATTCTATTTAATTCTAGTCAGTCTGATGATGCCAGGTAGCAGTGCCAAGAGCTCTTATGACTTTCTTAAGGGACATGTAAAAACTGGGACCAGTGTGACAGACTTCATTTTAGAAAACTTGCTTAGCTTGCTTGCCTAAATCTCTAAGATAAACATTCATATGTTTGGGACTTTCCATACTAAAACAATTGTCATGTTCAATATAAACAAGAGAAAAATGATTAAAGGTGTTTTTGCAGTTGAAAGAAGCAGCAGATGTGGTGAAGTTGACTGTGTTGAGTGGGTTTTTCTTCTGGCCCCAAGCCTTAAAAACTGTTTTCGTGTACTTCATGAATTACAAATGTTCGTGGCCCAATAATAGAAGTTCAATTGTTGCCTGCAGCATCTTATGACAAAAGACTGGCCCCCTCTCAGCTATGAACTGATGAATTGTAGGTGTATTTATCCCTAGTCAGATTATCAGATAGATATATCTAACTTGAATGGGTTTTGCATATTTGATGTCTCTTGTAATTTTCTGACGTTCTGGTTTTCCGTGTGCTCTTCCTTTGTGTTCTGTGCTCCAGCAAGCAGAGATGAGCTCCAATCAAGAAAAGTCAAACTGGACTATGAGGAAGTTGGTACATGTCAGAAAGATGTCATAAATGTTTGGGACAAGAAGTTACTAAACTGCAGAGCCAAAATCCGATGTGACGTGGAAGATATTCATTCCACTTTGAAAGAAGGTATTTATCTAGGATGGCTTTTAACTATGAAGTCTGAAAATGTGGGGGGTTTTTTTTTGTTGTTGCCTTTTGATACCGAAGGAAATCTGCCAGCAATACACTTTTTCCAGTAGTGCAAAATCATGAAAAAATTGCCTTCTTTTTGCAAATGCATCCACCTCCTGCTGCCAAACAGAAAATAGGTTCTGCTGTGTCTACAGCTTGCAAAGTCAGCAGTGCAGAAACATGTATAGTCATACTCCTGAAAGTAGCATCTTGTGCCCATGTATTATTACACTGAAGATTGAACTTGGAGCTTCTGCAGCTAACACTGTGACCTTCTGGTTTCTGGTCTGTGGCTCCTAGCCAATTGACTCTGAGTTTCAGATGCTCTGATTTTACTTACTTACTGAGAAGGCAGGACCATAATGTCTAATGTGGACTGTGCCCAAAAAGCTAGGGGAATCACAACCAAGCTTCAGAGAGTCAGAAGGACCACATCTTGTGGAGTCTGGACGAAGGTCTTTTAGTATTTTGTTTCCTCGAGTGAAAGGCTGTGGATTTTGGCTTGAAGTAGGTCTTCCTGTGGCCTACCCGTAGGCCAGAAGGGGAGACAGAAGGCCTTGTTAGTATAATGCAGATGCAGAGTCTGATTGCACCGCTGTGCCCTCTGTATAATCTCATGTCTGTATTAGAGATGCTGAAAAATAAGATTTCAGTGTAATCTGGCTGTGGTGCAGAAGGGAAGTTTAAATTGCTACCAAAGAAAATCGTGGTAGAAGTAAGGTGGTCCCTGTTAGTGATCTGCAGAAGACTGCCAACAAACATCTTTCCTTGCTGCCCTATCTTCTGCTGCTGGACTGCAGTTCAGAGTTGGGAACGAGGATATGCTTTTTCTAATTTGTATTCATATTAAATAACTATTTGCCTGGAAAGTATTAGCAGATTTGACTTTCAAAGGTCGGTTTACAGACTCAGGGGGATGTGTGCAAAAGTCTGAAAGTAGTATTTTAATTTAGTTTATGCTTTCACAGGTGCTTGGCTGACTTGAGAGAAATGCTGTCTTTCAATATGAGTGGTTCTGTGTCCTTCCTTTGGTATGCAGCATTAATGCTTTTAGGTTTGAACTGAGCATTTTGTAATCTGTACATCTTTCTCTAAGCCTATGGACTGACACGAGCAGCCCCTTGGAAAGGGGAAGAGGAGGTGGACGTCCCTGTATTTTACACCTCTGAATTTAGTTCAGCCTTTCTAAACAGGGCTGTCTGCATTCTGCGTGTAGTTGTGCATCTTTTCCTGCTGGAGGCTAAACAGCTCAGAGGTGGCAAAACAAATGATGTCCGTACCTCGGTTGCCCGATGTACTGCTCAGTGTAATTACTATAGTAAGGTTTGTAGTTAACGTTTAGTTAGTGGGACTGAACTGTGGCTACTGAGGGAATACACTGCAGAGTGGACAACTTCTGAAGCTGACTGTTTGTAAGGGATCCTCCAGAGTGGTTTGGCCAAGATTATGACAGGCAAAGATTATGACAGGCAAGATTATGACAAAGTAAATTCTTGTGTTGTAGCACTAAAAATATGCCGCTGCTTAGGTCTCTTGTTTTTTGACTGACCTGCAGGTGTACCTAAAAGTTGTCGGGGAGAAATTTGGCAGTTCTTGGCTGTGCAACATCGAGTCAGACACAGACTGCCAAACAAGCAGCAGCCTCCTGACATCTCTTACAAAGAACTTCTGAAACAACTGACTGCTCAACAGCACGCCATCCTTGTAGATCTAGGTACGTCTCTTTGTAGCTGGGAGATTATTCTGACTTGTTTCACGTGTCTGAGTGGTAACATACCATTCTTAATGGAAGCTGTTGCTGGAGATAGATGCTGCTGTATCAGCACCGCTTTCTATGTTGTCAGGATACATTCTGTGTATGCCACTTGGCATCCTCTAGCAAATTATTTCTTAGGTTATGCTGTTTGTATTTATGCTCTTCTACATCTGTCTGAAAAGAGAAATCAAGCAGTCGCTTCTGCAAGTTCTATGCAGATGAGAATATGAAATGAGCTCAACGGATACAGTCTAAAATCAGTGGTAAATTACGGATTGATCTGACTAAAATCAACCTGCATATGAAAGCAAAGAGAAAAGGTCTATAGGAGGAGAGAAGTGCTGGTTGTCAGATGGATCTGGAGGTTTTTTTGTGAGAAGAATTGAATATCAACTACTCTTCTCTCTTTACATCAGGACGGACGTTCCCTACGCATCCTTACTTTTCTGCCCATCTGGGAGCAGGACAGTTATCACTCTTTAATCTCCTGAAAGCATACTCATTGCTGGACAAAGAAGTGGGTTATTGTCAAGGTATAAGCTTTGTAGCTGGAGTGCTCCTTCTACATATGAGTGAGGAACAGGCCTTTGAAATGCTGAAATTCCTCATGTATGACCTTGGCTTCCGTAAACAGTACAGGCCAGACATGATGTCGCTGCAGGTAAGTCAGTCCTTCTCCTAAAGCAAGCCAGAGTTTTAAATGAGTTTTGAGCTCTCAGAGGTTGCTCGTGTTCTCCGGGGTCTTACAGAGCTTCTTATGTTGTTTTGGAGGTTGTGAGGTGCATGAAAATGTTACTGTCAAACCCCTCTCTGATTCTGAATTTGCAAACAGAGAAGTTCAGAACTTGCAGACTTTTCCTGTCACACATCCCCATCATCTCCTGTTTGGAAACTCTGCTTTCTCTGCTGTTTTGCTCTTCCTTTTCTTTTCCTCACTTCTCTCTCTTCCTTATGCCAAAAAAAAGATACGCATGCATCTGTATAGATGGAGTTTAAAAATAAATTTGATGTTGTTTTTCTTCAGTCCATAAGCACTTAGATGTAGATTTTTCTCTTGTAACTCGAAGTCAAATCAATAGTGTCACCCAGTGGCCAGTGAATGTACTCCACAGGCATTTGTACTTGGCGCTGCTCTGTCTTGCCTCATCATTTGCACCTCTTTTCTCTCATCGTCCTCTACCCCACCACCCTCAACACAAAGAGAGAACAGATGAATTTTTAATCATTTAGTTTGCTTATGAAATGATGCATGCTCTGCCACATTAGTCTTTTAACAGCTAGCTATAGATACTCACGGCTGCTTAGGAAGGAGACACAAAATCTTTCAGATCTGTATAAACTTCAGGGTTTAAAGTTTGAGAAATCTTTCACCTTGAGATGCAACTGTCCACTGACTTAAATAACTATATGCTATAAACCCCTAATATTATAAAGGGATATACCACTGCTGAGTTAAAGCTTGTAATCCACAGTGGAGAAAGAGAAAGCTAAGAGGCAGATACAAAAGTCTCATTTTTTTTCATGCTCCCTGCATAGCAAACACTTATAATTAAGTAAAAACTTAAGGGGGAGTTTCAATCCACTTTTCATGACCAGTCACTTTAGATGCTTATTTGGCAAATGTGCAGAATGATAAAATAGATTGTAGTTAAAGAAATTGTATGTGCTTATTCTAAAAATGATAGTGTTTTACTGTGGATGTAAGTATGCTATAACAAGTTTGTTGCAATGAATTAAGGGTGAACAGCCATAAAGAGCATCGTTGTGCCTCTTCCCTGTTCTATTTCCCTCCCTGCCCCCACCCCCACACCCATATGTTTTGAACCAGTGGGGGTCAAAGTGTGATAAATGCATGGTTGTGGGATTATTTCCTCCTAGAAGATGCTCTCTTAGTGTTTGTATGTTATACTGCACTAGTAGACTTCCAATAACATCTGATGGTTTGAGAGCATTCATATGTCCAGGATTTCACCTTTTGATTTAAATGAGTCTGAAACTTCCATTGTCAGAAGCTCTTAGGAAGAACACTTTTTAAGTTTGAGAAGGTTTACCACTTGTAGTGCTGTTTGCCTTTTAAATGAAATGACCTCTCTTTCCCCACAGTTTCCTTCTAGGAAGTTACCCTGTTCTAGACAAAAGTACAAGTTTTGTCTGCTCAAGACAAACTAGGGTGCTGAAGGTGACTTAGAGGATCTCACTAAAGCCTAACCCTTTGTTTTGGTTTTTAACAGGAGTAGAGCACTTGCAAATTCTTTTGCATTTACAGTACTGAAACACAAGCAACTTATATGCAGAATTAGCTTCTGTCCTGTAGAAGAAAAATGTTGGATGTTTCTTTAGGATAGTGAAAACTTATTTGATTTATATTTTTAATTGTTGTCTGGAAAAAGTAGTAATCTAGATCCTTAGTTCATAATGAACTCATCCAATTGGTTTACTGCCTCTGTGGTACTATTCTAATTTCACATGTAAATGTGTTCTGTATCAACACTGTCCAAACTGTGCTTAATTAGTGTATTTGGCAATTAAAGCAAAGACTCAAACGCATGCACAAATTTAGCTAATTTGCTTGAATGAGAAGTGATCTGTCTGCCTGCGGACATTGCTGACTGATAGATAGTTTCAAGTGCAGTCAGTTTTTGGAAGGGAAGAATCATGACCACTAAAAGCAGGAAAGTAGCTGGATCCAATAAGTCATTTTCTTATTGAGGAATGGATTCACCTTAAGCATAAGGCACTGTTGATAGCAAAATTGGACCTGACAGCTAATCAATATATGTCTGCTTCTCATCTTCTGCTTTCTGAGAGAAGCATCGCTCCGTGCTGTGAGTTGACTTCCTGTGGAATATAAACTGTCAAAATTGCAAGGAAAGAATTTGCCACAGAATGATATTTTTAGCAATGAATAGCAACTTTTAACCACTTTGCTTTGCCAACTTTTACATGTATAGCAGCACTTTTTGCATCAGTATCTTAAATTTCTCTGGACCACTGGCATGTGGGAGGTGTGCTGGGAAATATGTATGTGGTACACCTCTATTGACCCACTGTATGTAATGTACAGAATACGTATGTACACATATACTCTGTGGGTACAGAAGCTCTCTAAAGTGATGATTGTAGCATAGGAGTTTTAAATGCAGCAAAAATATGGGCAAGATTCAAAGGATAAAAGCTGAAATGTGTAAATTTAGCCAGAAATAGTTCAACTCTAATGGAGAGTTTTGGCATCTTGGAAGAGGTCCTACTTTCCTTGCTGCAAGACTGAAAGTTAGATCAGTGTATTCTCTTCTTACCTTAAGCCCGTGAATCTGAAATGATACTTCACTAATAATCAGGTTCAAAGTTCTTTGTTATTGACTACTGTGTTGGTTTTAATTCATTAGGGGTGGGTTGTTTATACGTGAGTAGATATCACTCGAGGCCCTAGGCAACAATTAAGCTTCATTTTACAGTGCCGTCTGTACTGGAGTTAATTTCCCTCGAGTGAAATGGGAATGGTTTGGAAAACTGAGTAAAGCTGAACTTTTCTTTCTCTGCTTCCTTCCCCACCAACCCCTTCATGCACTGTAGATTCAGATGTATCAGCTCTCAAGGCTTCTTCATGATTATCACAGAGACCTGTATAATCATCTTGAAGAAAATGAAATCAGTCCCAGTCTTTATGCTGCACCGTGGTTTCTTACACTGTTTGCATCTCAGTTTCCATTAGGATTTGTAGCCAGAGTATTTGGTAAGAAAGTTTATTCTGTTGCAATAATAAGCAGAACAATGTTATCCATTGTGTTTTGAAACTCTCAGGGAGTAGTTTTCTACATACTAGGGATATTTGGGGTGACTATTGTGTGTGGCAAGTAGCAATGCTCTTCATGGTGGGATGTCAGCTCCTTTTCAAAGAGGGAAACCGAAATGTATTCTTTGAAGTGTCAGACTTGAGCAATTAAGTATGGCTGCTGTTATTAGCTAAGAGACTTCTGAAGTGTGAACAGCAGGAAGTTTATTGTTGCAAATGTATTTTATGCATCAAGCATTCAGTTTATGTCTATAGAAAAGTTCATCTTGTTGAACTTGCATATTGAAAAAAAGAAAATGCATTGGTTTTCGAGAAAGTGTTTCTGAATAACTGATTCTAAAGTGCTTTCTAATAAAAATTCAAGTAAACTTGAACTTAAAGGTTGTTTCAGGTATTCATGTATATATTGAACAGTTTCCTAGTCTTAGTATGCCTCTTATTCCATTTAGATCGTTTTTCATTATATGCTCCTCTTCAGATAATGTCTAGTACAGAAGCTTAAATATTGATTGTGCCTTGTAGTGTTTACAGTATCAGCATGTCAAGTACTTGGTTTTTGTATTCTTTTATTGTCAATAAGAACTGCCAGCTTAATCAAATCTCTAGTAATGCAGCTTTTTTTTTTTAAATTTATCTATTTATTAATGTAAAACTCACTGCGCCCAGATATGCACCAAGAAGCTAGGAGCATATGTCATGTACTTCCTCTTAAATCAGACTTTTTTCCATTTGATTTTTCTGTTTTCATACAGCACCTTTTGTCTTTCCTTAAGAAATTCAACCTGACTTTTGTCTCATGTTTTATTACTGGAGTGTGTTAGGTTTTTAATTTGTTTGGTGCGGTGGTTTGGGGGGAAGAGGGGTCGGTTTGGTTGGTTTTGGTTTTCTTTTTTTTTGACCTAGTGATTTCTCTATTACAGAGGGTTTTTGCCTTTCACAGCAAACTTGTTCTGACTGCTCTTTGGGTGAACAAATGATTGGTGTATCTGTTTTTCAGTGGTATTCACGTAATCTCTTTCCCAGTGGGATTATTGAATTCCAGGACACTCAAGCATTTTGGTTTTTATTTCTTTTTAATTTGTTTTTCAAGGCTAAAGTGTTCTTTTCCTTTTTTTTTTCCTTCAGTAGGCTTTGAATTTGGAAAATGAATTTTTTAAGGCTGGGGAGGGTCAGTGTTAATTTCTCTGTAAATGAGCCGAGAAAGGCATGTTCCCGTTTTAAAACTCAAAAGTCACTATGTTGTTTTGCTTCCTAACGCTTTGGATTCCTGCATCTTCAGTGTCTTATGGGCCATTGTCACATAACAGGAACAGATGGTTAATGTCTACCCATCACAAATTATATACTTAATATTTATGCTGCTTGAACATGCATCATGGACTTGAGAAGGGAGACTTTTAGGAACTGTGTATGAGCGAGATGGCTGCCTCACCAGTGTCCTGGTGCTACCCTGTGATACTGGATTAGGGCCAGGGATGGCCTCTCGGAATCAGGATCAGAAGTTGAGTTTGTTCAATTGCGTAGCACTGCTCTTGGTGGTGTGACAGAGTCAACAGCACAGGAGGCTTATTTGAACGGCTCATGTGCTGCATTCATCTCAGTAACTGCAAGTCCACCGCTGCTACCGAGGCTGAGTTTCCAGTTACTGTGATCAAGTTCCCAGTTTCTGTGCAGTCTGTGTCTACTGACTTCTGCAGAGCCCAGAGTTTCCCCTCACGTCCACATAATTATACCTCAAAGCAAGGGTTTGGGGCTTAAATTATAGCCAATGTGATCACTACTGTGGATCTTGAAAATAAAATGATTGGTTATGGCATCTACACGATCGTTTTTTAAGGACTAGCTTCTGCCTGTAGAAAACAGTAAAACGTCAGCACGTTGTGTTGTGATCCGCTTCCCAATTGCTTTTCAGTCACAGATACACTTAAAAACAGTTCGTGTTTAGTTAGCAGTCTATAGTCTACAGTAGACAGTAATGAAATGCTTATTGTGGATAACCGTTACAGACATAACAAGCATGCGATATTTTCTTTAATGCTCTCTCACATCTGTAAGGTGACAGAAAATGCTTTTATATGCTTTAACCTCATGTTGAAATAAGACAGATTGCACTTCTGAACTGAATAAATCTGCAGTATGATTGATTATAAAGAAAAACATCCCAGCAAATGTATATATTTATCCAATTACTTTAGCTCTCGTTTTCAAAATATTTTAATGATCTTCTTTTTTAGACATTATTTTTCTTCAAGGAACGGAAGTCATATTTAAAGTAGCGCTGAGCCTACTTAGCAGTCAAGAAACCTCTATAATGGGATGTGAGAGTTTTGAGAACATTGTTGATTTTCTTAAAACCACTATTCCCGATATGACTCAACCTCAAATGGAAAAAATTATTACCCAGGTAAGGTTGTTTTTCCTCTTTACTCCCCACCCCCCACCCCGCCCCCATTTAGTTTACTTTAAAAGAATAATGCGTAAGGTATATGTAAAAGTCTTCTCAGTATGTTCCTTTTGGTTTGAAATACAAAGGAGGCATCTTCCCAGTAACTTGTCTAGAAATAAGATATGAGCCTAGTTTCAATGTGTTTTGAACTGCAATTTTAGCAAGACTTTAGTTGCTACCTCAAGGTTTAGTACAAAGGTTCTTTTGTGCCCCAGCTATTGGGAAAACATGACTTTGCTTATAAATGTCATGTCACCATTAGAAGGGTAGAAGTAACCTATTTTCCAAACCTAAGCCCTGTTTTCATGACCTGTATTAAAATCAAGGTTGAGCAAACTTTTGCTGTTCTGTTGTGTGGGTGGCTTCTATTCTCCTGGGGATCACTTTAGGGTACCCTCATGCAACTTCGCCTTCTCACCTCAACCCTGTCCTTGGAGGGATCACACTTGCAGGTGCTTGGTGCCAGAGGTAAAAGCCCCTCAGGATTGATCCCTGCCTTTCTTGGGTAAGGGAAAGGAGGACTGGAGTAGTGTATCATCACCAGTATCATTGCAACTTCGTGGCAAAGGGTAAGAACAGAAGAGAAACAAAGAATTACTAATGCTGATACAGGAAAAGCTTCTTGTGAAATACTGTCAGTGGCTGGGATCTTCATCTCTCTACATCGTCGTCTTCTGCATTGAAGCCCCAAACTGAAAATGAGCCTCAGCCTAATACCTTAACTGTGAACCTGTGAGCGGTTTTCCCCCTTCAGGTGGCAGTTTGGAGATAACAGAAGAGCTCTAGAAAACCATCTCCATATGCAGGAGTGCAGTGAACACTGATGCATTCCTATGGCTTGGTTAATACTTGAATGTTTCAGGTGCTGTCAGTTAAGAATTCCTTTTTGAGCAACGTGCAAATCTTAATTTCCTCACTGCGCTGATTGTGATTGCCATGCTAAACCTATGTCAGGCACTTTAGTGTCTGTCTTCACAACTCGCTGATTCTGGCAGTGATAGAGATGGTAGTTCAATATTTTTGATACTATTAGAAATTGAATCTCTGTCCTGTGGTCTGCCTGGGTTGCAGAGCATTTGTGCTGTGGTGAGCATGGTAGAAGTGGCTTTGTGCAAAGCCAGGTCTGATTGAGTAAAGAATGGGTACGTTGCCTGAGCAGAGGTGGATGTGGTTGTATGCAGGTCAGCTCAGCTCTGAGAGGAAGATAGCCTGCTTGCCCGTGGTGTGGTCTCATGCTGAGCAGCCTTCTGGATCTGCCTTCACGTGTAGACTGCCTATATTCTATTGCTCCTACCTAGGCTGACTGCAGGTTGAGTTGTTTGGCTGTCTCAGCATTGTAATTCCCAGGACCATCCTCTTACAGCAGATAACGAAAGAAAAATGTAGACATTATGCAGGACTATAATACACAAATGAAGAATTGACCGGGTAGCTACATAGAGGAAAATGGCACTTGCACAGCTTGAACACCATATGTAATTCAAAGTTTTACCTCATTTGAATTACCTGAAGAACAGTGAACGTAATGCAGAACTTGTTTTGTTGGGGGATCTGTGTCTCTTCTGTTGGTGTAATGTTTGTGATCTCTAGAACAAGGATCAGAATTAATGTCACTGTAGACATCCTTCCCTTCCTAGTCTAAACTATTTGGTAACTTCCAGAAGCTGAGAGGCTGTGACTAAATATATAAACAGATAAGGGTCATATGGTCCCATCACTGTTAGATGCTCAGTTCCATAGTCTTCACAATGCTTTGTCACCAAAGCATCCCAATAAAAAAGTAGCGTATCTTCACGCAGAGACAGAGCACGGGGAAACTGTAACCATGAAGAGTGGTTTTACAAAAGTCTATAAATGGGCACTTGTAGTCAAGAGGTCCAGTTTTGAGGGTGGAGATCTGACGACTCCTGGATTATTCTTCCTCATTGTGTGATACTGCTCCCATCACAAGCTGGTGAGACTTGAATTTAAAAATTTCTTCTCGAACTTCTTAATATTCCTGAGCAAGAGATGATAAGACTTGGTCATATTATAAAATACTTGGGTTAAATAAGACTTTTCTGCTGATACATCTCATAGTAAAAGATGGTATTTGGTAACTGTAAAAGTGATGATCCGATTTATTCAAAAGTCTATGATTTATTATGGCTACAGTAAGAACTCTAGATGCTAAAATGGTCTTACTGTAGACTTCCCCTTAAAATACTTTTTTGAGAGGAACAGGAAAAAACATTAAGTTAATCAAGCAGAGTTGCCTCTTAGCCAAACATTCATGTGGAATAAGTGCTCTCTATTATTGTTAAAAATTGTTTTTTCTCTCATGGCAGGTGTTTGAGATGGATATTTCAAAACAGCTCCATGCCTACGAAGTAGAGTACCACGTTCTTCAGGATGAACTGCAGGAAAATGTGAATCTCTCTGATGAAGGTGAACCCCTGGAGAAGCTGGAGAGGGCAAACAGTCATCTGAAGAGACAAAACATGGATTTGTTGGAGAAGCTACAGGTAAATGACATAAGACTACGAAGTCATGGAGAGGTCATTTCTGTGATTTAGCCAATAGAGTAAGTGTCTCTCCTAAATGTACATGAGAAGTCTCCTAGCTGCAAGACCTTAAGCAGTTGAGCAGTTCTCTCAATTACAGTGGTTTACTTCTGTTAGACGTATTTTTAACTTTGTCATTCCTCGCACTTTTCCTTCTTGATTTAGGTTTCTTTTTCTCAAAATATCTCGACCCTTATCTCCCATAAAGTCTGTTGGCAAAATTTGTGTATCTTGCTGAAAAATAAGTTCTCTGTCTCTTCATCTCTTTGCTTCCCTATTGGAAAGCTTTAAGAAATAATCCGTAGCACATTAGGCTTGCTTTCTCCAGACCTTTGTAGGCAGTATTGTTTTGTTTCCTTCTGCTGAAGCTCATAGTCCTACTTTTGAAAGGTGGTCTGTCTTAGCAGATTTGAATACAGCTGAGTGCCCACCAGGCTTTGGCCGATAAAGTCATGCTTTAAAAAATTCTTCTCTTCCTCCTTCACCATTCACCCTTTGTCCTATAGCCTAGCCAAGACTTGTTTCAGGTTTCAGTGTGTATTGTCTTGCATTTTCCTGAAAGACAAGCTCTTCTTTTTGCATCACCAGGCCATTTCTTGTTATATTTGTTAATTTGAACAAGCATTGGAAGATCTCAGAAAGCACCTTCAGCTTCTGAAACCTGAAAATAGAAGCAGGGAAAAAAGGAAAGATCAAGTCCTCGTTATTTTTGTGTTTGTGGGCAAAGCATGCTATGCTGTGTTCTTTTTAATTGAAAACAGGGATCACTTGCTTGTTTACTATTATTATTTTTGCTTTATTACTTTTATTTATTTGTTTGTTTACTGCTACCTGGGCTTTTACCTCTGTTCTGAAAATGCACCAAGGGCATAGAATAATTATGAGTGACTGATTTGAAAGGCTCTATCAAAGCTCTTCTCTTCTTCCAGAGTGCCGTACTGTAATGCATCTTCCTCGGTTCCTTAACCTCTTCACCTTTTTGTTTGTATAGTTTCTTCATTCCTCTGCTTGGGCCCTTTCCTAGGAATGATCATAATTCCCCCACTTCCCACAGAGAGACATTTGCTACTGCTGAAGTCCAGGGTTTCTGATTACTAGTCAGTGGTTTTTTTCCCAGGGGAAGCTGTAGGTCTTTTACTGGAGAATAGGGAAAACTGTCTGCTTCT